TCTTTCACTCTTCTCCCACTTTTCCAGACTCACATCCTCATCGTCTGTTTTCTCCTGTAAGATCAGCTGCTCAGCTTTCAGCTTCTCCAGGAGCTCTTTGTGGGCTGTGGAGAAGGTCTTCATATTGTGTAGGCGGTGCTGGTCCTCAATGGCGCAGGAAACACACACGCAGGTCATGTCGTCCAAGCAGTAGTACTCCAGGAGCTTGCCGTGCTGAGAACATTTGGTGTTCCCACATAAATCCATGGGTTCAGTCAGAGGATGAGTCTGCAGTAACACAGGTGTGGTCAGGTGGGCCTGGAGGTGCTGGACACACATGGAGATCTCACACTTCATGCACGTCTTCTTTGCTGGTTTCCTGTCCTCTGCACACATGTCACAGAGAATAGTTTGTGGATCTGTTCTTCTCCTTTTTGTTTGTATGCTGTCAGACATGTTTTCCAGCACGAAGTCCTCCTTAAATTTGTTGAATATAACTCAGTGTTGTACAACAGTCTGGATTATCTGGAAGTTGGTTTGCATTTTACACTGCTAAAACAAATAGAGAACAGGTTGAGTCAGGAAACTTTTCTGCAGAAATATGGACGTGCCAACATGAAAACACAGATCAGTTTAATTTGCAAACACACTTTTGTGCTTGGGTAGAAAAGACATGGACTTGTAATAAAATGCAATCAAATTATAATATCCAGGCAGCAATGTTTCTATTGTTGTGCCAACATAAAGGCTTTGATGCTTGAGGCAGGATTTACTTCAGTATCAGTTTGTTGGTGCACAGAATAAACTGGCAAATTGACTAACTTTCTTTTTTCATATAAACAAACATGAAAACGCGGTGTTCTCGCTTCAGTCAATCAGATAAATAAAATCATCCTACATATTAAAAATATACAAACTTTATCATCTATCAGATCATTTACATTGTATAAAACAGCCGCTGTGTTTCTTTGTTGTCATTAATAAACCAAAAAGCTGTATTTATGCCGATCTAAACCGAAAACAACTAGAAAAGATGGACTCGACGATGCTAAGAACGACCGTGAAATCGAGAAGATGGAGTAAGATAACGCTAGCGGTCAGCCGACCAAGGCTAATTGCAATTCATGATGCAATTCAGTCACTCAAAATGCATTTTACAACTTACCTGCGAGAAGTTATAACATTAAATCAAGAAATAAAAGATGTAATCGGAGTGTTTTCCGAGGGCCTCACCTCAGCAGAATCTCGTATTAGTAAAGTTGAGGAAGTGGTTTCCTCACTAACAAGTTGGGAGGCCACTTGTTATTGAACTAAACTGTCAGGAACTCCAACTGAAAGTGGACGACCTTGAGAACAGAAGCCGGAGATCCAAACATGAGACTCGTCGGATTACCGAGAGCTGAATCAGGGGAAATCACTGCGTTTTTACAGACCTGGACTGTGTCCAAATTCAGGGGCTGCTCCTCCTTCGGAGCCCGATTACGTCGTAATATTTTCCGTATTATTTCTGTATTATTATTCTATTGTTAACCATTCCTCGCCATCAGTCCCCTGACCGTGGTCGGGAGACGCGAGGGGAGAGGCTTCCTCCAGGGCCGAAGTTTGTCCTCCTTCGGGGTTAACTCCCTTCACTTTTGTGGAGTAGTGAGGCAGACAGAAATCAGCCGAGGCACCGGAGAGTACTGAAGAGATGAGGCTTTAATAACAGTACTGCACACTTCGAAAACACCCTGCATAGGCTGTAGCCCGTTAGAACGCTGCTCCCGGTCGCCCTCTCTACCCATGACACACTCACTCTCTCCCTTTTTCCTCTTTCGCTCCCCGCGTTTTTCCTTCACGCGCATGCTCACACACACATCACATACACTCCTTACTGCACCCAGTCACACACAAGACAGCAATTCCCGCAACACTATTTTAAATTTTAAATTATAAACTTTTTAGATCATAAACCTTCATACAATTGTGCCCTGTATGTGCTGACAAGTTACTGTAGAAAAACGAGCCCTGTCTTATAATGACACAAAGTTTTTGTCATTATATAACACCAGTAGTATTTTCCAGCCTGGTCTCTCTCTCTTAGTTTCAATCAGTTTTTAATTGAAACTGATTAAAACTAATAGAATCCAAAGTTATTTACTTTACTTTTTATACAGACAAAGGTGTACATAATAAACTGGCAAATTCAGCAACTTTCTTTGACAAAAATTAAAATGCAATGTTCTCGATTCAGTTAGCCAGATACATAAAATCTTTCCACATATTAAAAATATTCTCACTTTATTACTTATCAGATCATTTACATTGTATAAAACAACAGCTGTGTTTCTTTGTTGTCATTATTAAGACCAAAGAGCTTTGTGTACAATGTGAGAGCATCACCAGTAGATGGAAACAAACATCTTCAACTTGCAGGTGAAATAAAGTAAAAACAGTTCAAACAAAAATAATTAGTTGCTACATTAGAAGAAAAATCAAAGTTAAACATCATTCCTGCTTCTGGGTTATGTTTCCTTTCCCAGTTGTACAAATGGAGTCAGTTCCTTGTCTTTCAGGCTCATCTCAGTAGTTACTATTTCTTCCCTCTGGTGCTGTCCGGTTCTGCTGTAGGACAGTGAGGAGGCATCAAAGTTCCACAACACCTCCACGTTTTAAAATGTAGCATGGCCTCATCACCATTCTCCTCCTGTAATTAACTCAGAAAACACCATGTGTTGCTTTTCTGTGTTGGCCATGTTTCTTTCTCCTTCTTTAAACTCTGCATCACAATCATTATCATTCTCCATAAAAGACAACCAAATGATAAAAATTTGGGCATCAGTGAGCCAGTGATAGTTTAGCACAAAATCTTAACATCTGTTTATCATGAAGTAACATTTTCTCAATCCATATGTCTGTGAAGGTTCTCAGTCATCCAGGTCAT